GGGCTGAGGTTATTTTTCCTAATATGACACCAAATATTTATTCCTTCTGTCTGTCTATAAAGCTGTTTGTCTGTCTCTCTTTTTCCCTCTCTCTTTCCCTCTCTTCCCTCCCTCCCTCTGTCTCTCCCTCCCACCCTGCCTCGCTGCCCCAGGCAGTGTGTCTAGTTTCACAGAGCAATTGAAGGTGACAGGGACAGAGAGAGAGGGAGAGGGAGGGAGGGACAGAGGGAGGACACATCACAGTATCGCCTGGGGCCACACAACAGTAGAGGAAGAGCGAGAGATGGAGGGACAAAGAGAAAAGAGAGGAGAGACTCACGAAAGTACTCACAGGGAATTCCATAAACAGGTAATGGAAAAATAAAGTTACACCAAAACAGCTGAAATGTGTGTTAGTGCCAGCGAGTGTGTGTGTGTGTCACATGCATTTGCCTCCAGGTCAGCTGATATTCACTTTTTTTTTTTTTAAATCACTAACGGCATATTTGTGTGTGTGAGCCCTTTCCACTCTGCTCCTCTCACTCATAATATATGAACGCATTACAGGACCCAGTCAGTAAGAGCAATTATAATGCACTCCCGTTTGTTTTTATTTTAACGACTTGATGAATATTTGTCGTGGCATTGTAACCATGGTGACTGCCTCCACCGCCGCCGCCTCCCCCTTCCCTCCCCTCCCAGGCCCCGTCCACCACCCCTTCCCCATCCCCCCTTCAGCGCTGAAAAAGCAAGGGATGGCGAGAGAGAGAGAGAGAGAGAGGGAGAGAGAGAGAGGTGACAGGAATGAACTAACAAGATGCACTAAAAAAAAATGCATGTCCTGGAGCTACATGAATCTTTGCAGTGAAGCACGCGCCGTCACACACACACACACACACACACACACACACACACACACACACACACGCTCACACACACATTATTGCACTCAGCACATAGGGATCACATAGGTTAAGCCACATTCCAACAACTGGAACACAATAAGATGCAGCCATGATTTCTGAATAGAGGGAAAACAAAACCAGCGAGAAAAACAGGGAGTGGGAATAGAAATGTGTGTGCAGAGTTAATATCACGTTTCTAGGCTTAGTTTTTAATTAACCAAGCTGTTTTGTTACTCAGCTTTCCCTCACTTACTTTCTTTCTTGTCTCCTGTTCCTGTCCTCTCACTCAGTTCAGTAAAAATGTACTCAAATAGTACAAATTGTGACTTACACTGCCATTTTCAGCTTCTTCATGCTTCTATTTCACGACATTTCAGAGGGAAATGTTACGTTTTACTCCGACACGTTTATTTGTTATCGCCACATTGTAGCTTTTTGATTTTCCACAAACATATGATGAGTTTATAAAACGTGAATCATCATAATAGATGAAACTACTCAACAGTACAGTAAAGTATCTTCATTGAGCTCCACCTTAACCAGCTATAAGTATTGAAATGCACTAATTTGCACTAATTTTGACGCTTGATGGTGAAGTACATTTTGCTGATAATACATATATACTTTTACTTGCTGGCCTTGTACTTGTACTTGGGTATTTTAACAACGGGATTCTGGCTGTTTTACTTAACTAAAAGATCTTTTTACTGCTTTTTACCTTTGAACTTGTCAAGTCCTTTCCTTTCTCCAAGGCACGTCTCGGAGGGAAGTAACAGAGGAAGAGGGGGGGCCGAGAGACAGAGCAATGGGGGCAGCGGAGAAAGAATAGCAGAGTATGAAAGAGAGAGGGAGCGACAGAGAGAAAGGGAGCGCAAAGTCTTGTCAACCGGAAATAAAACAAGCTGGCACCCTCCCCATCCCCAAGCCCCTACACCCACCCCAAAGTCACATACTTCCTCTTCACTCTCTCTATCTCTCTCCTCTGCCTCCCTGCTTCCATCTTCCATCTCTCTCTTCTTCTCCTCTCCCTTCCGCTGCAAAGAGATATATTTAAACCCCGGTTCTACTCCGCTCTCGCTCTTTGACTCTACCATACATACCGTCATACCTGCGTCATTACTTACGCCTGACATCAAACCTTGTGTGTCTATTGTGGTGGGTTTCTGTATGGGGCTCCTTTAACCCGCTTTGGGGCCAGACAATGCCTTTGTTTATTGTCCCATAGCTTTAAGCTCAGTGTGTTATAGCAGGAGAACAATACCTCTGTGGTCTGGAGACAATATCCAGGTGCTCTGGGAAAAGCTGCAACTCAAACGCTGCACAGTGTTTTTAGCTCTTGTATAAAAAAATAAACTGTGGTCACTTTACCTGCCCAGCTACAGCATCTTTACAGGCCCAAAACACTGGTGCAGGGGTTCTGTAACACAGACAATATCTGATTAAGAAAAGAACATTGCAACAACATTTGAGCTGAAGCAATTGGTCAAATAATCGATTAGATGATCGACTGAAAATGAATCAATCGAAAAGTCATTTTTCAAGCAAAGATTTGTGTTTTGAGTTTTGGACTGATTACCAAAAAAAGGCAATTTGAAAAAAAAAAAAAAAAAAACTGAAATGAAGATTTTTCAATATTTCCAGTGTTTTATGAAAAACATGAATCGAAAAATTAAGAAAATAACTGGCAGATTATAATCGATAATGAAAACTATTAATTTCAATCCCAGCTCAGAGATGTATAAATGAGTATACTTTTCTAAAACAGCATCTTACAACTGATACAGTCCATTACATGAATATTGCTTATTATATATATATATATATATATATATATACACAAAATTTGTAGCTTAAGTAATTAAAAATCAATGTATTGATATTAGTCATCTTTATTGACCAAATATCAGCGGATTCAGGGGGGTTCAATATTAGTGCATCAAATTAAATACAATAATTCAATAAAATTAGTTATTGATAAGATGAAAATTGCCCGTCTTTACCAAACAAACATCTGGTTATCAGTTTAATGTGTTTTGATAATTAATGATACAAACTGTAAATTATCTTTTGTGTCTCAAATAAATTGGAAAATCTAAAATATAATGTAATGTTAAGCTTAATATTACTACTCTTCATTATCTAGAAATATGTTTTTGCAGCATAAAAGATTCTTATGATACACAACATTTTTGTTGATGTTTGACATCATGTCATTGGTTCAAGCAAATAGAAAAACCAATAGAATAATGTATTATTAATACTATGACTTAACATTACTGAGAAATAACTTAATTACATGATATATAAACATATTTAATATTTCAGGGGATTAACCAATATAACACTGTGTTGAGCCCAATATTAATGATGGTAATTACTAATAATCTTTTATTTAATATCTGCTTCTGTGTGCAGTTTCAGAATTTTTCTGCAACAATAAAGTAAATAATTCAACAGTAGACGCATGTGGACATGTCAAAGCTTTATCAATGTTTTAAAAATGATCTCTTCTAAGTGTCTGAATGAGGATCAATGGAAATGAGTCTTTACTAATGTGAACGTTAAGTTTAATCTGATACTGTCAGTTGTCTGGTTGCACATGTTTTTGTGTTAAAAAAAAAAAAAAAAAAACTTGACTTGACATACTTGACCGACAATCATACTCAATACTTGTGTGCAATTTATGGCTAAAATTGAATTCCATCATCTATTTATCATCCACTATCTCTCCATTATCTGTGCTTTATGCTCCACTCTCTCGGCCTCCCCTCCTCCTCTCGCTGGCATTAAGTTCAAACTTGACACTGATGTTGACTCACTTTGTCACCCCTCGGTGGCTCTCTCTCTCTCTCTCTCTCTCTCCCCTCTCTCTCTCTCTCTCTCTCTCTCTCCATCCTCCATCGCTTGGAGGACAAGAGTGCCCGCAGACGCATTTCTCTCCAGAGCCCCCCCTCTCCCTCTTTCACTCTCTCTCACCCTGTCTAACTCTCTCCATCTCTCTCCTACTCTCTCCTTTACACACACACATTATTGTCAACAAAGCTGGAGAACAAGGGACGTGGGGGGAACAGGGGAATAAAGGTCCACAGAAGAGGAGAGTAACACACGGGACCCCCGCATCATTTCACCTGGACAATCGGTAAGTTTGCAAAAAATTGCGTCTTTTGAGTGGTTTTGTTCTGTGCTGATGTCACTTCTTCAGTACTGACTTTTAATGGAGGCTTTGGGATCGACTACGCTGCCAACAGTAGTCATAAATATTTTCTGGAATTTAATGATAAATAAACTGTGGTTCAGGGGCTGCTTTATCCAAATGAATGATGTTTGACCTTTGACATTGTGTTGCTGCAATAGTTGAGTTTTTTACCTTTGTATTCCTGTCTGACTCTCCAAGGAGCTAATTTCCCCCCAAAAAAATGGGAATGCAAGATAAGATGAGAGTAGAAGACAACAGCTTTTATTCATCTCAGACTTAGACACATATTTACTGAGGCACATAATGATGTTTATGGACATACTTCAGTACTTATGTCTTATATTGAAAGTTAAATATAGGTTTGGTTTGATTGTTTTATAGGAGATTGACTGTGTGTGTGTGTGTGTGTGTGTGTGTGTGTGTGTATGTGCGTGTGTGTGTGATGCCAGTTTGACTGTTTGACTACATATAAATGCAGTGTCTTTTCATGCATACGCATGTGTGCATGCACGCTCCGGCTTACCAGCAAAAATAGAGCTAAAAGCAAGTAGCATGATGAATGTCATGGCTTTCAGAGTGGCTTCTAATGTACCCCAGCTCCCCATGGTATACTAGCATACCAATGTATAACACACACACGTTACGACAGCGCACATGTAACTAACTCCATTTCTGTCTGTCATCATGAGGCTAATTCACCACAATGCCGACCATGTGTGAACTCATGCGATATGAACCCCTCCTTCTTCATCTTCCCCATACCCCCCCACCACCCCCCACCCCCCACCCTCTTTCCAGAAGGAAGCAGTTGAGGATCGAAAGGAGGGAGAGAGGAGCGAAAGGTGACAGTAAGCAGGGGGCAGATACACACAGGACAGGACTCCTTTATTTCTCTTCATGGTGTTTTGGACACTCGTAGTATGTATGAGAAGTTAACCATGCTGAACCTGCAGAGCGGCTCAAACTGGAGCGGGCCTAACAACTGGTACCATGACCCCACCGGAGTCCAGACACAACACAGCACAGGTGAGGGGAAATTTTCAACATGTCACCGCTCCCACATCATCTGTTAAGTGTCACCAAATTCAAACCGCAGAGAGAGCGGTAGCTTGGCACTTGTGGCTGTCTCACCAACTTCCTGTTAGTTCAAGGCATTAATCTCACAATCTGTGACGCATCATTGGAGGAATTTTCTTGGCACTCACACATCTCTTTTGTCACCTTTCGTCTCCTGGCAGTGTCTGAGGGCTGTCTGCTGGACACGGAGGGCAGCATGGGGGGAGAGGCAGGGGGAGGAGGAGCGGGCAGAGGGGGAGGAGTCCCCGTGGAGCGGGACGAGGGCGAGGAGTCTCAGCTGAGGCTGCAGCTCAAGAGGAAGCTGCAGAGGAACAGGACCAGCTTCACACAGGAGCAGATCGAGGCTCTGGAGAAAGGTCAGGCCATGCAAGCACGCACAGCGCTCTCCTTGCTTTCCAGCCAATCGGCAGGCTCCAGAGTGTGTCATGACGCAGCTTGTCCTGCTGCTTTTTCCCCTGCCAACACCTTTGTTATTGGATTATATTCTTTATACCTTGTTTACATCTTTTTTGAAATGGCAGGGGAGATAAATATGCGAAATCACAAGCATTACACAAAACAGTCAGGTGTTTTATCAGGTATTGTGCCTGACTACTGATCTGAAGTTTTTCTTTTTAGCAAGACAATTTTTTATCAATCCCTGCTAGAGACAACAAGCACTGCCACCCGTGACCACTTCCAGATGCAAATTATCCAGAATCTTAACTCTAAATATTCCAGATATGTTCCAAAAAAGCCTCTGGCAGCATATACAGCAGAGTTTTGATGATGCATCTATTATTGTGGTTGTTTTATGCAGTGAGATCTGGCCCTCGTAGCCTGATATCCACTGAGAGGGATCAGAAAGCCACCCTTGACTGGATATGGCTGCAGCAGGCCCTTGAGCTAAATAAGGACGCAATGTCCACTGTGCAGCCGAGTGGAAATGTATCACTGTGGTCACTCTGTGCAAATGACATTAATGAGGTACACTGACCTCAGTGCACGGCCAAGGCACAATAACAATCATGTGTTGACACAGACGCCAATTATAACCAAGCCAATTATAACAATTTGCAAGACAGCCTTAATTTATCGTGTCATTGTTGTTATCTCTGTGCAATATGGATTCATTAACCACGTGTTACCGGTATGAACTTTGGTCTCTAGTTATTTACAGTGGTGGTTATCTGTTAATAAACACACTGTAATTATCCACCCCGCTGCTATTTTTCATATAATCACATCCGTTTTAAGCAAATGAGGTGATTTATTGCTTTGGTTTCTCTAATGACACATTATTCACATGCTACACAAATGTCAAGCATTGTGTCACAAGTGCAGACAGTTGGATGTATAAAAGGCGTCTCTGTTACTGAACTTGAAACTTCAGAGTTCATCAGGATGACTCACACTGTCAGTTAGAAGGAGAGGCATATTCTTGTTTCCACTTGTCAACGGCACAAATGTCAGCAGTTTGTCAACTATAAATTAACTGCCACAATAAGAAATGATACTCTGATACAGTAAGTCTCTGTGATGTGAACACACTGTTGTTCAAGCAACTTCAGAATGACGAATTAACTTAAATCAAGTCTCTGTGTCAGTTATATATTATAATATACTGTACAGACAGTCACTGTACCAGCTACTACTGATGATTTTCATAGAACTCTTCATGCCAATAAGTCACACAATATAAATCCAATCCAGTTTGAGATAGTCAGAATTAAAAAAGATAAACGATGACAAAAGTAAAACCTAGAAGGATTTTTTTCTTCAGTTTAGTTTTAGTCAGCCTACTTTGAAATAAAGTGCCTACGCAGCTTCTCAACTTGAATCCTTTCATTTGAACTTTCTGCGTGTTCCATAAGGATAAATAATTTATACAAAGTGCAACAGATAAATATTTCAAATACGGTTGTAAGGATACATCTCGGCTTCCTGGATTTGTATATTCCAAGAAAAGATAATTAGGGATGCTGATATTAAGCAGTAATCACCCGATAAGCAGGGTAATATCGGTCTAAATAATGAGATTGCAGATAATTGATATTGATATTAAAATTAATTTTCATTTGAATATAAGCAAATTTTTTAAAAATGCTTTCATTTAAATTATCAGATGCACAGCAATCCAAACTATATTAACACCATGCAGGACGGGGTATCAGGCGAGCTGCTCTCCGGTAGTCCTGTCATCCTCGATTAAGACTCACACTGTGTGTTTGACATACAGCTAATATCTTCCACAGAGTTTGAAAGGACACATTACCCAGATGTCTTTGCGAGGGAGAGATTGGCAAACAAGATTGATTTGCCAGAGGCCAGGATACAGGTAGGGAACATTTCAGTCATTTCATAACCTATAATGTTCAACCTGTAACAATACAACAATACATGATGAACAGGCCTGACAGAGGTCTTTGATTGACAGGTGTGGTTCTCAAATCGAAGAGCCAAGTGGAGGAGGGAGGAGAAGCTGCGCAACCAAAGGAGGTCAGGGGGTGTGACTTCCTGTTCACAGAGCCAAGCCCCTCTGACAACTTCCTTCAACACATCTGTCTATCATCAGCAGCACGGCAGCAGTTCAGGTAAACACCTGGACACTGCACAGCAGGATGAGCCTTTAATTCTTGTCATAATTATTCTCTCTAATGAGAGTATAATGTATGTGTTCATTGGCTCGTCCGCACAGCACATCAGTAATGCTGAAATCAAGACTTTACATTTGGTCTGTATTATTTATATATTTGGTGAAAGAAATATTTTACTAGTTTATAATTACAAACCTCAGAGCTACCCTACTTGACATTTGAAGGCAGGGAAACCATTAGAGTTTCTCCATTAGAGCGCATCTATATTACAACATTTCCACAGTGAGATGTTCCCACCACATGTGTTTGTATGTGTTTGTGTGCATGTGTGTGTGTGTGTGTGTGTGTGTGTGTGTGCACACTCACCATCTCGCTCTATCTCTCTCTCCAGGGTCCATGTTGAGTCAGGCTGAGTCGTCCCTGCCGAGCTACAGCTCCCTGTCAGTTTTCTCATCTGGAGTCCAGGTTGGACTTTCATCATTCATCATTCATCAGCATCTTCCAAACTTAACCAACGCAGGGTATCACCACAGAGCAGAACCGCTTTACTGGCCTGTTTATGTCAAACATACCATAATGAAAATGAATAATAAATGATAAACACTACTGTAGATATTAGTACTGAAAGGTCTAATATTAACAATAATAACACAATAATAATGATATATAATTTATTCCCTGTCTTATCATAACTGTAATCATTGTGGTTGTGCCAGTCAAATTACTCACAATGATAATTTATTCACAATAACTAATAATGATAATGATAAAACAAGGTAAAATAAATATAACACACAAATCTGAAAAGTGCAGGAGGAAGATTTGCTGCTTTTCCTTGTCATACAGTTTCTGACAGTAAATGTCTTTTTTTGTCTTTTTATAGAGAAAATAGTTGCAGCCATATAAATTCTACAGTGATTTTTAGTATCATATTAAAAAACTTATTTCTCAAATCTTGATAATATCTTATGATGGAAGGTGATGGAAATGAGACAGCTCATCACAGTTAAGATGCAAGTGCCACCTCTTTGGTTCTTTAAGCCTGTTTGTTATGTTTTAGAACCCAGCAACATCAGAAACTGTAACGTCTTTATAAGTCAAGAGTTTCTCAAGCAGATTTCTCAATATTTAGAGTCTGTGGGGTCAAAAGGTTAGAAAGCTGCTTCATCAATTTCAATTTATAAAAGCTGGAGTCACGAGGCTGACAGATATTTTATTCGAGGTTTCTCAAAAATGGGACAAACAAACTGTTTATCATCCACATTGCTTTGATCATACCAAATTATCAGCAGCATGAGAATGCATACATTTATTGTTGATGTTTTACATGAATGCACGGGCGCTTCAACTTTAAAACGGATACATAAGACAAGTCTGCTCACTGTGACTTATGCAGAAAATATTATTTAATGAATGAATGTTTTGTAATGAAAGAAAAAAAAACCTGTAATGTAAAGTGAAATTACACAGTATCAATGTAGTAAGAAAATGCAGAACAAGCTTGATAATACAATGAATGTGTGTTGCTGCTGCACTTTACTCCTACCATACAACACTACTCTAGCACCGCCATGTGGTTAAACTCAAATCATGCCGTCTCTGCCTCAAACTGCCTGTACAGCTATGAGTGGTGTACAGCAATGGATATATACGATTTTTAAAAGGTGGTTTTCCTAGATAAATTAGTCATTTTTTTGTGGTTCAAATATAAATCTAATCCAAATCTTTCCTCTCCTTCTCCCCTCCACTCCTGCGTCCACTCTCAGTCTATTTCTCCCCAGTCGGCTTCTTCATACTCCTGCATGTTACCTCCCTCCCCCTCTGCCCCGCGCAGCTTTGACTCATCGGCGTACTCCTCTCCTCATCTGCAGACTCCACCCTCAGCCAACTCCAACACCGGTGAGTGTTTCTGTGCTAGATGTGGGTTTATTTAATGGGGCACGACACACATTTACTTTACGTCTGTTACTGACGTGGTGAAAACTGTTGCTTCAACCACAAACCGTTGTTTCTTCCTGTCTCATTCAGGGCTCATATCACCTGGCGTGTCAGTGCCAGTCCAGGTCCCAGGGACTGAGCAGCAGAGCATGAGTCAGAACCTGGGTCAGTACTGGGCCAGATTACAGTGAGCAACAGACAGTCACTTCCAACAGGCAGAACTAAAGAAGAAGGAAAAAAAGGGCATGTAAAAAAAAACAAAAAAAACAAAAAAAAAAAAAAAAGAAGTGTCAAGAAAACAATATGGGGGACACACAGGTTTAAAGGGAGCACAGGTCTGAGATAAAGAGGGGCCTTGATGAGTTGCAGACCCCGAAATGCATTAAATGTTTACAAATTCAGCCAAGAGCAGCTTTGGTTGCACCTGACGGTACTTTGGTCATACTGGTATTTGCTTAGTATTATCAGGTTGCACTTTTTCTTTTTTCTTTTTTTTAATAGTGTGTTAATCATAGGGCTGTGGTCAGGATTAGAAATAGGATCAGTTTTAGGCTGTATTTAAGATAATAGAGTCAGGATTAGGATCAGGCAAAATGTGGGGTTTAGTTTACACTGTAGAAGTGCAACAAGTGACACTTTGTGCTATTTGAGATTAGCATAAAGTTTTACCATATTTTATTGTGTCAAACATTTTGGTTTTTACAAAACTACAGAAAAAGACTGGACACCTGCTTCAACCTCTAAATGAAGCGTGAGACGTGGATAAAAGCTAAGAAAAGCCAGTAAGTGGCCTTTTGAGCTGAGACTATTTTGTTACATGTTTTAACAAACTGACTCCACAGAGGGGGCAGGAGACTGAGGTTTGAATTTTAAATAGTTCAGAAGATTGACCCGACAAGCTCTCAGCCCATGAACAGAAGATATACTGAAATGTCTCTTAAGTTTATATTAAAAAGTTAATTAAAAAATTGTTTTGTGAAATGTAGCCTTGAAATTTTCAAGTATCAAAAGTGGCAAATGGCAAGATTTGAACTACAACTCCACCAATGCCAAAATGATTCAGTGGTACTAAGTAAATGCCAGCAGATGTCTGTATTGTGAGGTGTAACCACAGTTTCTTGTTACTTGAGCAGCTCAATGATATTGTGATAGCTAGCTTGTTCCCTGAGCATAAGCTGTGTGAGGCTACTGTGAACTTTAGACTTGCTTATGGCAATCACTTTTACTAAAACTGAAAAACTTACCATAAAAAAAGTGTAAATCCTGCCTATTCCTGCCAGCAAAATTACACTGAGACTGAAACTGCATATTTTTGTACAGACATCTGTGTATGATGAAGATAACTGTGGAAATATTGTCAGATGTTATTGGAGGGAAGAATGTAGCACGTTGTGGACTCAAATCACCCTCAAAGCACAAGTTTCATTTGTCATAAAAACATTAATAGGAATGCACCATATCACTATCGGTATCAGATATTGTCTGGTACCAGGCTGAACATACAAATATTACAGATTATGTACAGGTATTACAGATTGTTGCCAAAAATTACAGTAAAGCAATTTCATTTTTTTCTATTTCATAAAGACAAGGATGTTGTTTTTTATCAGAGGTATCAAAAAACGAACAATCGAATTCAATTAGAGCCCCTTTTTGCCTAGTGCCCATCATCAACCACAGCAGTATGAGCAGTGATCTTGTGCATCACGGATGAATCATATCCATCAGCCAGTGACAATCAAGCATTGTAACACACCAAACAAAAAGACTTGAGAGACTGACAATCAAAGCTGGAGGTAGAGGAGATCAAAATGAAAAAAAAAAAAACTGTGAAATTATTGCAACACTGTGGATACAATAGCAATGACTTTATCAACTGTGCATGACCAAAATAAGCCGCTATAGACAATCAGCTATTTGCAGAAATGAATCAAATATTGTACAAAAACTGTTACTGTACTTTGCAGGGTTTTAACCTCTGCTCACTTTCCTCTGACTATTGGTTTTGTTGATGCATCTCAGTTCGATCTCATATGAAATGTCTTTCAACTCTTATTTATTTGTCTTTTCACTTGTTCACATAAGTCCTCTGTGTTGTTTCTGTTGTTGCTGTGTGTTGTGTTAGTACTGTATAGCTACCAAGAGTCAACCCTTTTGTGAAGGCCTTGGATCCCTTTAATGAAAAATAAAACTGTGTGTAATGAATATAAATTCAAAAGTTCTTTATTTGTGATGTCATATTACATTTTACTCACTGTCCACGTGGTTCAAGAAAAAAATAAGCTCAACTCAACATGACAGTTTGACTAATATACATACTGATGACGGTTATGTTTGACAAATGTGATGTTTACAATACCATTACTGTCACCATTACCCAAATAAAATGCTTTTTTTTAAAAAAAAAAAAAAAAAAAAGAATTTCTAGACATGTCCATAAATCAACATAAATGAATATTGGGTTGTTACAATAAAAAGAAAATGAACAGAAATCCAGCATGTGAAACGTTGGTTTACTTAAAGCTGATTTAATCAGTGATTTTTATATTAACAATGAATCACATGACTACTTGTACATAAAAGGGGTTGCTGATTGTCACCAACTCTGCAACCCTGTAGTTCCTCTGAGCTCTATGGAGCATTTTAGTTTGTTTTAGCTAATTGTTTTCATTTTCTGGCCTGCAACTTTACCACCAGCGTTTGTTTTGTTTGTTTTGAGTGAATAAATCATTTTAAAAAACTTAAGCATAGCATTTAGCAGCTGAAGAGACAAATACTTTCCACAGGAGATTGAATACTTACATACTGTACTTGCATTTGGGTGAATTCATACCAACTCACCCAGGACCTGCCAGTTCATATCATGGATTTTCCTTGAAAAAATTCATGTAATTGGTCCTGCATAAAGAATTGAGTGCCACAGATATTGCCAAATATACTGTAAATGAATTGTATTTTGAGTATGATTGCACTCTATGTTGCAATCCATTTTTGAAATAATCTGTGTGAGCCAGTTTCCATTGGAATTATCTCACACCTGCTTTATTGTTTTCTACTAGTCAATAATGTGAAAAATTAGTTCAGAAAAGTTTTGAAATTGGAAAAAATAATGTGTATTGAGCTTTGAGGACCTAAGATTAATATTTTGTCCAGACACCCGGAACAAGATGACAACATCTAGTATGCAACAAACCAGGCCATTTTAAACTGTAATTGAACTCACAGAATCAAATTTTGAAAGTTTGAAAGTAGAGAAAGTAAAACTATAGGTGATATTAGTTTTGGGAAAAAAAAACAAAACAACATTCAACAACAATTTATGAATGTCAATGTGAATACATGTTGCAAATTATCCTATGAGATGTTCAGGACAAATCCAAACCCAATCCAGTGAAAAATAGGCAAGTAGGCCTAGCAGCTGCTGAGGCTTAGAATATCAAACAAATCATGAAAATTAGCTCAGAGGGCCAAACTTCAAAAATTCATAACGAAAAAAGTATTTGGAGTAGAATTATATGATTTTGCAATGACCAATGAATCTAATAGAATTTTTTACTTTTTGTCCGAAAAAAATCAATGATATAAACTGGTTCTGAATTCTGGGTGAGTTGGCATGGACTGACTCAAACAACACTCCAAATGAATGCTAATGTTACTGTGCTAAATCTAAGTGTGCTTACAGCTTGTTTCTGCCCCTGGTGCCCATAAAATCAGTTATTGCAGGTTGAAGATATTCTGTTTGTTACGTATAAGATGTATAATAAATAATAATAATAATAATAATAATAATAACAACAACCTTAATATGATGTAGGCCAACCAAAAATTGCAAACCTGATATAAATATACTAACATTGGAGTGTTCAAACTTGGATTCACTTTCTTTAGCAGTTGTATTTGTGTGTCCTTGCAGAGGAGTTAATCTGTCATAATCCCAACCACTGAGCAGCTAAAGGACTTTCATGTGTTTTCCACTGGTGGAGCGACACGAAGTGGACATGATGGAAACCGGACGACCATTAGCACGGCAGCATTTTGATTTTTTGCTAATGGCATCACTCACTTGGTCCCTAGAGGATGGACAGAAATTAAGATGGGAGAGCAGCGAGAGGGAAGGAGAGGGAAGATAACACCAGAGAAAATGACCATGCAGACCCATGAACATAGTGAGGCTCTAAGATGTTATGTGAGATGCCAGTGCACTCCAGCATCATCAGATTTCCGCCAGTGTATTATAAGTACTTTGTGTTGAAGATTGCTGGCAAAATCATTCATGTTGAAAATGAGAACTACCATAAAAGCTTTTTCCCCCATAATGGTAATTATGGAGGTCCAGGATGCCAATATTGAAATTAATTCATATTAAAATTTCACTTTCAATTTCTGAAACAAAAGACAAACTTAGACAAAAGACAGAATTAGCATTTAGGTTTAAACATCAGATTTTCATGTTCAGAAATGCAACTGTCTCAATTAACAGGGAAATAAAGACAACACGAGCAAATAATTTTCAGGGCACTTCAAAGCATAAGAGTGCTAAAATAACAAACTGAATTGGATTTTTATGTTTTTTGCATTGATTTGAATTAATTCAAATTTCTTATGAAAATTTAATTTTAATATTTTTCATTTCAAATACCTCTTGTGATATTGGTAAAAGTCAACCATGAAACCCTCTTTTCCTTTTCTAGAGATTTGTTTGAAAATAAAGGTTCAGTTTTCTCAGTGTTTCAAATTTAAAATTGTAATATCATTTAATTTCATTATGGTCAGGCCTGACCTTCCTTAGGTTAACACTATGTCAAATATAACATTGCAAAATACTTTAGAGCAAGTCATTACAAACATCAATATTAAAATAACACAACAGTGACAGTTAAAGAATCTATACTCTGTCGTTTCAGAGAGAACAAAAACCAAATGCAATGCAAATATTTTCTCAGAAAGTAATTATCAGCCAATTAAAAATAGTAGTTAAAGACATGACATTGTTGACACAGGGGACTGGTTGACTTAAATTTGGAATCGGCATCAGGCAAAAAGGATGTGGTTGTGGTGAAAAGGTGAGAAAACTTCAGAGAGACAAGTGGGCATCCTGTAACAGGTCTTGAAAGACATTTCACCTCTAGAGAGAAAGCCAGATCAAAGTCTACTGGTAAAGGTGAGGCATAGTTTGGTTCGTACCAGAGAGCATGTCAGCCCAAATCCATTTACTTATCAACAAACTGAAGGGATTACTGTAAGATCCATTTAATCCTATAACATTTACAATAGGTGAATACAAAGTTTTATCCATAATAATAGTCACCATTATGCCATAGCTACTAATGCTGATGTATAAAGCACTAGTAAATGATGTATTAATTAGACTGATAAAGACATTAGTTAAAGCCTATAAACCCACATTAAGCCTCGATTTATTTAGTTCAATATAATTTTGATTTTGGAAAATATCACAGTCAACCAGGCGGAGGAGAAACTTACTATTGCTGTCCTGTCTCATAGAAATCTCAACAATAAGGACTCATGATCATGGTTGTAAAAACTGAACTAAAGTGGAGTTTGATGATGTGCACACGTCTCTTTAATCCTCTTTTTCTCTGCACCTGCAGCAGCACGTACCCATGCATCTTGCCTTTTGTGATGTTTGATGATGTGGGGCGTAGTTTGTTGGTAAAGGAAATGGTCGTTGTACAGTGAGAGAGGGAGGGCGGAGGCAGAGAGAGTTCATTGATCTATCAGCTCAGCCTAGTCCCAAGAGAGCAGACTGAAGCATCACAGCAGAAATAACGGTGAGCTTTCTATCGCTTCTCTTTGCATTTCAAGAAGCTGCTATTATAATCGAGGAACATCTGTTTCCTTGAAATGATAAGTATCGTTATTATAATGGAGCGGTTTTCTTGCAGTGACTACAATGGAACTGAGTCTTCTGCTGTGGATGGTTTTGACCTTAACAGAAAGCACATCAGCAGAGGCCGAGCAGTACAGCAGAGCAGTGGTGAGTAGAAAGCAAATATTACAAAAGTTATATATAAATAAATATGTAAATAATGGCATATAAAGACAAAAGATACTTTTATGAAAAGTTTTAATTATGTGTCTGGCTGATTGATAGTTTTCCTTTGATTTTGTATCGATTCTATAGGTGATAGTGTGATTAGTATTATATTGAACTTTATTTGCAAATTTTCTAGTATAAAAAATACAAAAACATACAATTGTCTGAGGTGTGATGTGTGGCTATTGCTGATCAGGATTTTCTTTTAAATTATGAGCCAGTGAAGCAGTTTAGATATATTCATGTCATTTTAATCACAAATATGTTTTTCTATCCAATTACATGTTGAGAAAAATCATCTTGCCAACATGCATGTGTGTTTTTGTATTATAAATGTGAACTTTTGTTGGCCTGCCTTTACACCAGGCATTCACACACTTTTCTTATATGAGAGGGGTGTCATATGGAGGGAATGACATATGGCAGAGAGGGTGGCGGGTGCACATAAAGCACTGTCCAGATGTCCCATGAGGTTCATAAAAAAAGATAAGACGTCATAACTGTTTGTGGATTTAGATTGTTTTTACTGACTCTTTTCAGGAATAATTTGGTTGGGGAAAAAAAAGAACAGTCCGTATTAGGATTAGGGGTATATGAACACTGAACTCAAGATATTACAATAAAATAGCATCAGCTGATTGCAGCTGCAAGCATGGCGTGATAATCAAATATTCAAAATGATGAACACACAAAGGAAATCTGTGATCCTCCCATGCGCATTTTACTCACATACTTCCTTCCACTCAATATATGCGAAACTTTGCATGTCTGAGCGTCAGAAAAGTAAAGTTTCACTTCTGTCCAAGTCATCTGTTTAGTCTGCACCCTGTCTGATGCTGCTGGTGTCTGGGGCTCCAGATTAATGAAAGTGTGAGCACATCAGGTGCAATAACACAGGTTGTTTGGAAATAAGTTGATGTAGGTATTTGGAAATTGTATCAGGCACACAAATTTTAAAAAGTGGAAAAACAATAAAACAATTAAATTTGCCTTTGTGGGAGTAAAAAAGCAACTTCAGGGACAAATCTTTTGCATCATAAAACCAACAGAAAGACTGGTGGTGGAGCCAACACCTTTTCTTTTCCTGTTGAGAGTGGAGGTTTCAAAAGCACTTTTAAGAAACTGTTATTGCAACAATGATGCGTCAACAGGAAAAGTGTTCAACAAATGTGTTCCTCTATTCAGTTATGACAGCTCGATGCAGTATGCAAACTGTCAATGGTACAGAGCCTTTACCCCATCAAGCAACTCACTCAACAAGGATAGGATCATTTAATATTAATGATAAAAAAGGCTGACACACAGCCCCATGAGGGACGTGCTGCATGGGTCAGACTGTAAACTGATGATCTGGAGTCATAACTGGAGGAGTATTTGTGTTAGTCTCCATGACATCAGCATCTGCTGGTAATCTTGAAGTTGACTCATTTAAGAGATGGATTTCAGCAATATTGTTGGTGGAGTTTGTTAATGGTGCTGAGATGTAATTCACCACCAAAGGAAATAAATGTTTTTGTTTCTTCTCTGTTCTCTGTCCAGGATTGGTTGAGCAGATATGGCTACCTTCCTCCTCCTGACCCGCGCACAAGTAAACTGCAGACCAAGGATGGGATTGAGAAAGCTATTCGTGTCATGCAGAGATTTGGAGGGATCCAGGAAACTGGAATTCTCGGTAACGCCGTCTTAACTTCTGCCATGATAAGATATTATGTGTATATTACATTTCACATCTCTGGGGTCACATGAGAACTCAAAACGTCCTGTAATCTGCTCTTTAGTTTCAACATCCAACATGTGATCAACCTCTCTTCCAGACAGCAAAACTATCCAACTCATGTCGACACCACGATGCTCTCTCCCTGATATTGTTGGCAGTGAAGACATGCTGAAAAAGAGGAGGAGGAAAAGATATGCCCTGTCAGGCCTTAAGTGGCATAAGACAGACCTCACATGGAGGTGTGTTTCCTGTCATGTTACACTGTGACTTTATCTCTTCCCTGTATGAATGACTGTGCTTTGTATATCATCCAAAAATGCTTCAGGCGTCACATCAAGGTTACAGCCATCATTCTTAGTGTCAATCAGGGAATTATTACCTTTCAATATACCAGGATCCATCTTTGGAACGCTTAGAATAAGGCAAGGCGGGTTTATTTGTATAGTAACTTTTAAACGAGAAGGCAAAAAGGCACCAAACATCTGTGGGTCTCATTCTGTTGGAACCATGAACGTCTGTACCAAATTTCATGGCAACCCAGACCAACATTGCCATCCAGTGCCAAATAAAACATTCCACAGACGATAAAATGTCCATAAAACCCCAATCAAGAGGCTAAGTCTTCCGTCTGATAAAGTAATGTGATAATCTGGTACTGATGTGCTCATGCACAGGGGATTTCACTGGTCTATTTCTATTTTTTTCTGTCTTAAAAAAAGGGTGCTTCCTGTATGTCAAACTCCCCTGGCCACTGAGAAGAAATATGGGTTGCATGCAAAGTTTTTCCTAGTGCTGTCATCTGCTTTCACCACCTCTTTAGCGTCGTCTCCTGTCACCATTCTGTTGCAGGTGTAAAGGAAAGCAACGTAAAAAGGCAATATAAAAAGACGCATTTAAATAGGACTTATTTGACCTCCTACCACAGATAAGGTCATCTGTGGCACTCAGCTCCAAACCCATTTGTTCCTTCTGAAGACATAGACAAGACTACTTGTTTCATTGATGGTTTTGGTCTTTTGATTGGATTTATTGACTATAAGAGAAAAACAGATTATCACCAGATTATGCTTTAAAAATTATGAAATTGTCATGACTCAGTCTCAATGAACTTGTGATCATGTGGCAGGTGTTTGGTGTTAAACAAAACACTAAGAGGGTAACAAGGGGTAAAAAACCAAAAACCTCACAGACAGTGCACAGTGAACAGATTTTGAGAATTACTTAAAACAGAGAAGTCTACAACTTTGTTTTAATACGTAATCTTGTCTGTAGTGTCCACAGTTACCCAACGCCCTCCCTCTCCCCCGGCCTGCCTAACCCTTTGGTGGACAGCATCCTGACTCACGCCTTCAAAGCCTGGAGTGACGCGGCCCCCTTGAGTTTCCATCGGCTGCTGAATGACAACATGGGGGCTGCGGCTGGGGGGGACATCAGAGTGTCTTTTTCCCGTTTGCTGCATGACGACGGCTACCCTTTTGACGGAAAGGGTGGCACCCTGGCCCACGCCTTCTTCCCTGGCAGGGATGAAGTGGCGGGTGACACACACTTTGATGATCATGAGATCTGGAGCTACGGAGGTATTTACTGATTGAAACCATGATGGACAGATGATGGCTAGATGACCTGTCCTACCTTAGACATATAGTGTAATGAAAGAGTGATCAGTCATAATCAATAAAGAGTTCTTGGTGAATAAAAACGAAAAGAAGACATCCGCATATTCAGCGACATCATACCCCCAACTTATGATTGTTTACATGATCCAATAACACTTTTGCTTCACACGTCCGCAGGTGACAGCAGCAGCACAGACTTGTTCACAGTCGCAGTGCATGAGTTTGGCCACGCGCTAGGCCTGTCCCATTCCTCCACTGATCCATCCATCATGAGGCCGTACTACCAGGGTCCTGTGGAAGACATTTCCAAATTCCAGCTGGCCCTGGACGACAAACTGGCAATCCAGCAGCTTTACGGTCAGTTACCGGACTGAATCAGAGTAAATCTCTGATTTATGTTTATTTGTTATATTCATGTTATGTTTATTACATACCACCTACAGAAGTTGTTGATATGGCATGCGTTTGATAAGAAATCATCTGAGGAAACAATGGGGTAAACATAAACTCCTGTGTGGGGCTTAGAATGGCTTGCTATTGTCGACAGTATTAATTAGACTATTGTTTTAATTTGGCTAATCAAAGTATTAACATGGAATCTAATCCACAGGGAACATGTGAAAAGAGGTAGGAAGTAAAAGTAGACCTGAAAGGTCATAAAATGTGGGGAAGTCTACAGCCAGCAGCTTTGTAAGGCTGTTTGTTGGCCAAGCAGTGATTTGAGCTAAGTGCCAAAGGTCATCAAGCTTACATGCTCACAGTGACAATACTAAGATGCTCATGTTTAGCAGGCATGATATTTACCATTTTCACCACCTTTGTTTGGCAGAAACTAAAGGACTGGACAATTCAAATTTTGACCTGGGACTAGGAAAAAAAAAGGATGACCCAAGTCACAATTTACACTCTAGGGACCTTGAATATTGCTAGCAAGTCTTTCTAGGGTTGTCAAGATATTTCTCTGAAAAACAAAGATGTCAACCTCAGGGTGGCGCCAGACAACTTTGGGATCACCAGTCAGTAGGTTTCACTCTGTTGGAACCATGAATGTCTGCACCAAATTGCATCCATCCAGGTGTTAAGGCATTTGAGTCTTGACCAAAGTGGTAAACCAACTGTCAGACTAAACAACATTGCCACCAGCATGGCTAAATGTCTCTCTTTTGGCTTTTTGTCCTGCCCACAGTTTTCAATTCACTTGATTTCTTGAGGTAAAAGACTGTAACTGTCGATGTGAACATAACCTACTACAAACCACCAGTGGTTATGGCCTTGTAATTTGAAGAAGTGGCCCTGCACTAGTAGAAAATCCCTCTAATGGTTATATATTGTTTATAGGATAATAGGTTATATTTGTAAGATAAAATTTCAGAAACTTCCTTAATGTTTTTTTCCAATATCCATTGCAAGTGCATTATTTTATAGCCTCATAAAGCATTGCACAAAGGATAAAATGTCCATAAAACCCCAATCAAGAGGCCAAAACTGTGATAAAGTAATCTATTCATTAGTGTGTAAAGGTGCACTCAGGTGCAGGGGATTTCACAGAACTATTTCCTTCCATGTCTCAAAAAAAAAAAGTGTTTGCATTCTGCATGTCAAACTCCCCTGGCGTTTGAGATGAATGTGGGTTGCTTGGTATTTCTAGTGCTGTCATCTGCTTTCACCACCTCTTCAGCGTTGTCTGCTGTCACCATTCTGCTGTAGGTGTGAGGGACGGCGGGCCATCAGGTGGTGTTGATCCGGACCTCCCACGCCTGCCCACTCCACCATTTCCAAGACCAACACAGCTGTGAGTGCAGCCAAAATGCTACTGCACATCCATATAGACAATAAGCACTCTTTCATGTATTTGCTTTTACAAACTATGAATATCCTATCCATGCACTCAGTTTACTCATTGAAGATGAGTAATTTAAGACTAGTGATGCAGATAAAAGCCTTCTGATTGATCCTTGCTGTGAGTGTTTGTTCTGTCGCACCCTCTACTGAGTTTTTAGCAAACTACATCCTTGAAAATACATTTTGACTTCACAATTTGAGTTTTATCATTTACTTTTCCATCCAGTCCTGACCCGTCGATCCACGAGCGCTGTCGGGGAGGCTTTGATGCAGTGGCAAATATCAGGGGAGAAGTCTTCTTTTTTAAAGGTAAGTAGAAACCATGAGGGAGACACACAAGTGATATTTCACAAAATAGTTTTTGAAAATCTCAAAAATCATATTAATTGCCCAAATTCATGAGTTTATATTTGGGCATGGGCTGTTGGGACATGTCGCTAACAATGTGCTAAATTGTCCTTGCCAATATTCTTACCCCTCCCCAATGAGCTCGCCATTTTAAGTGAGTTGAGTGTTTTCTGCAAAATTGTGGTATTTAAGAGTTTTCATACATATATTTTCTTGAAAATCTATCATGTCAAGATTTTTATCAACTTAAAAAAAAGTAAAATATCTGTTTAAAATCAGAAAAAAAAAATCAAAACCTACGCCCTTGCTTACATTGTTCAACAAAATAACAAAATGAAAATATATTCAGAATTGTCAGGTGATTTAGTTTTATACATAGACTTGGTGATCCCATTTATCATTTATACTGTGTTTGAAGATACAGTGACACATTGGTCCTGTTGGTGTCATGTTCCTTCTTTTCTTGGAAAGGTGCGCATTTCTGGAGAACTAAGCGAGACGGGTCTTTAGTGTCCCTCTATCCGGCTAAGATCAAAAACTTCTGGATTGGGCTCCCGCCAGGAACGAACAAGATCGACGCTGTGTATGAGAGGAAAAGCGACAGCAGTATCATCTTCTTCATTGGTGAGAAACCAAAATCCTACGGTTACGTGTCTCTGGTGAATCAGAGTAGAAGGTGGGAACATAGTTCATTCTTCTCATGTCTTCCCTTGATGTTATTTTGAAGTAAGTCGTTTCGAGTAACAACAAGAGCTTAAATAAACTAATAACAGCATCAGCATGAATCTTAAACAGAATAAATACTTATAAAAGCAGTAAATCCAGTAACTACCAGAGACAGGTTATATTTAAATAAACTTCTGTGTTCATATTGTAGCTTGAAACAGATGTGTATCTCCATATGTTTCCTTTTGCCTCTGTCACACTGCAAAAATGACAAACTTCGATTTGACTCTAATTTGCACACGCAAATTTTGAGGTGTTCCCTCTCACACTTTCCTCCATCTGTCCAGGATCTCAGTACTGGGTCTTCAAGGACACGGTAGCCATGAGCGGTTACCCTCAGCCCCTCTCTGATTGGGGGATGAGGACAGACAGCACTGCGTTCGTGGACCGGGTGGATGCAGCCTTCATCTGGGCTCATAACGGCAAGACCTACCTGTTCAGCGGAGGGAAGTTCTGGAGGTTTGACGAGAGCCGTAAAGGTGAACAGGTGATCAGGGAGCCAGAGTTAGGCTATCCACGGGACAACAGCCTCTGGGTAGGAGTGCCCTCTCACATGGATGACGTCATCAGCTGGGGAGAAGGTAACATTGTGTTTAGAGATATAAATGTGACAAATTTATCACACCAGTCCAAGACAAACAAAACTATAGAGAAGGTAATTCTTGGGTGGTGACATTTTAGTCACCACCCACCATGTACAAGTATGTACAAGCATGAAGGTATGAGGTGTTTCCAACGTGACAAAAAGATCTGATCCAACTCATGATAACAAGTAATAAACATCATTAATCAACTGTCTGACTTCAGTGACAGCTAACCATACGGTCAGATATAGAAACTAGACTGAAACTAAGATTTGAGACTGTGACTGAACTGGCTCAAAGTTCAGACAAAAGGAGGAAGAGCACACATGTTTAAATCAAAACGACACAATTCATCAAAGTAACTCATTTACGTAAGGGAACCAAAACAAGACATGTCAGATCAGTGAAATCAGTTGTGTATGGTACCGCATGGATGAAATAAGTAACCAAACAGGCCAGGCAGAGCAAAACAGGAGTGGCATAGTACTTAAAATAAAGTGCAGGATTATGCACAGGAATTTATCACTTCAAAGTAATCTACAATTCGATAAATGTTGTCTTTAAATTTAATTTTATAATATTTGGTTCCATTTTGTGCAGCACTGGAAGAAGTATTCAGATAGGCTACTTAAATTAAAGCATCCCAGTAGCACTTTTGACCAGCTGGTAGCAAAAATACACAGGAAGCATGAGTCACATCCTTTTGCTAGCTTCATGCTATTCTTGTCACAACTGATGCACGAACGGTGGCGAAACACAAGGCAAAGACCCAAATGCCGAACTTATTCCGTTCAATTATTTACTATAAGATACAAAGGAACAAAGGCTTACAAGGTGGTGAGGCAAGCAAGAGTCCAAAAACCAGGGGGGGCAGTCCAACCAGACGAACAAGTCCAGTAAGTAGTGGCAAAAAAAAATCAGAAATCGAGAAAACAGGCAAAAAGAGTCAACATACAGGTATGACAGGGTGAACACGAGGAACCAGATCATGAAGCAAGGTGTAGGCGACTAAACATAGACCTCTGGTAGCTGAAAGCGGGGAAACACAAGGCTAGAATTACACTGGACACTATTTAACTAATGAGACACACCTGGCAAAGACAAACCGGCGGGAAAAACTGTTTTCTTGTAAACAAACAAAAGCTTTTTCTTCTTTTTTTTTCATTCAGTGCGCGCTAACAGACGTGTTAGCATTTACGCATGTTTACCTGCAGTCTTCTTCACTGCCTTTGTTGGTGCATTGCCCCCTTTCTTTGTTAGCTACCACCACCTGCAGATCAGTGAAGCCGAGTGTTTGGAGGTGGATTATTATTATTGAGGCATTAACATGTACGCAGCATTTTCATGTCGTAGCTGAAAGGGCTTGGTTTATAATCGGCTAATGTTTTATTCATTATGTGATGAAAAACCAAAAAAAAATGAATGAGTGAGACTGACACTGCTGCTCCCCCGCAGGAGATGCCCACTTCTTCAAGGACAACCTCTACTGGGTTTTAAAGAACGGAGGACTGAACCAAGATGTCGTCACTCCTAAATCCATCGCTGTAGACTGGCTCAGATGTCCAGCTCCACCTTCAACCACCACCACAGCCAATCCTCGTTTCCCAAAGCAGTGCCACTGTGATTTAAGTGGATCTTCGTCTCCAAGAAGCAGCCGGATCCTCCTGATCTCCGTTTTATTGGTAATTAATGAGTTTATTAGAAAATAGAAACCTGAGTGTGGAATTTGTTTGATGCGTTTGTTGAGAGAGGCTACTGTACCACTCCTCATTACACTGGAGGGTAACAGGATCTTTACATTATCATATACTCACAGCACATAAAAACCCACAAGATGGTTTCAAATTACATTCTAGCATCATAAAAGGCCTATGTTAAAAACCTGCCTTATACTTTAACACCAGGCCTATGTCAACATAAACACTTGCCTTATTAAAACATATTGCTGATCTGTAAAAAAAAAAAAAAAA